CAAACGCGGCTAAACGCGGCAGCCGCTGGCCGGCAGGTGGCGCCAAAGGCCCGCCGGGTCCAGCCTGGCGCTTCAGCCACGTGGGTGCTCCCCGAGCCGGGTCTCCGCGGGCTGGGCCAGGTGGGGGGTAAAGAGGGGCAGGTCAAAGGCCAATTTCAATCCGGCCTGAAGGCGAGCGCGGTGGAGCAAACAACCAGGGGGAAGCAGCCAGAGGAGGTGATTTCCTGCTGAGGCTGGGAGGCCAGGCTGAAGCGCCGGAGGGGCGTCCCAGAAGCCGGGGTTCAGCACACCTGCGGGCGCCTGGGAGTGGACAGAGCGGGTGTGGGAGGGAGGCTGTGCCGCGGTGGATGCTCGCGCTGCCCCAGGAATCCTTTCAGCGGGGCAGTGAAGGTAGAGTTTCACTGTGTGTGGGGGGTGAGCGTCACGCGCATTTATGGGGGTCAGGCTGAGAGGATGGAGGAAGGGCTGGAGGGCTGGACTTGGCGTACACACACAAACACACACACACACACACACACACACACACACACCTTTTTCCCTCCCTTATTGTTCTACATTCCCGGCTCAGGAGGCCCCAGCCAAGAGGGTGCCCCCGGGGGTGGGGGGGGGTGTGTGTGTGCGTGCCAAAGGCTGGCGCCCCCAGAGCCCTGGGCATGCAGAGGAGAGCAGGAAGACAGAGCAGGGCCGGCTGCGCAGCCACGAGCCGGCTGGGAAGCTGCTTCAGCGTGGGTCCCTGAGCAGGGGAGAAAGGAAATTCTAAAGGAAAAATCCAGCAGGCTTGGCAGCTGTTGGAACATGGGGCTGAATGGGAGGGATGAGTCAAAGATGACTCAGAAGGTTTGAAGGTGAGTTCAAGGGAAAATGACAGTGCTTCAGGGGAGTTCAAGTTCACGCCCAGGACTGTTGCTTCTTTTAGCACTTAAGAACTGGGCAGGGGGCCTCCCTAGTGGCGCAGGTGGTTGAGCGCTGCACTGTGAAGCTGTCTGCAGCCTCTGCAGCGCAGGTTCGATCCCGGCCGGCCAGCAAGAGTCTCACATTGTTCAGCAGACCTCTCCTGTCTCGCCCACTGCTCCCCTCAGCAGTGTACTTCGTCAGTCTGCCTGCTCTGTTCCCCACTCTGTCTCTGGTGAATCCTTTCACACACACATCTCATGCCGCCCCCCCCCCGCACATCTGGCCTTGTATAAATAAATAAATATTTAAAATTCTTGTATAAATAAATATTTAAAAAAAAACGGGCAGGAACCTGTCCCATTCCTGTATCCCCAACACACATACAGCACATGTCAGCTGGGGTGGGGCTGCCTGTGGCATACCTGTCCGCAGCCTAACCCACAGCAGGTGCCAGGAGACACAGCCTGGGGCTTTGGTGAGGGAGGATTGGGGGAGTCCCAACACCCCCCACTCTGAATCCCTTTTGAAGGAGCAGCCTTCAGTCCCCAGGTTCCCTTCCTCCCCCCACATCCCTCTACCACACTGCCAGCCTCCTGTTGACTGGATGCCCATCCACCTGGGTGTGCCCGCCCTCCCCCCCCCTCAGTTGCCCACACCCAACTCTTAGGATCCTACAGACTTCTTATCCTCACCCAGCCTGTTACCTTGCTCACCTTGGTCTCCATAGCTCACCCTCTCTCCCCCCCAACCCCCCCACCCCCCCCCGCAGCTCTGTGGGTGTGGCCCCCTTCAGGGGTCACTGCCTCCACTGTCATCCACACCACGGTCAGAGTGCAAGGGCAGCTGGCTTCCAGGAGCCCGCAATGGCCGATACTTCTTGGCCACAGTCGAGTCTCCTGGCCTGGTGCACTGCTGTACCCCTACATGGTGCTCCAGCTCCACGGTCCCCTGCCTCCCTCCCCGTTACAGGGCAGAGAGAGGGGCAGCCTAGACCCCACAAACCTGCCTACTCTAATTAGTTCTGCCACCCACTGCATCAACATAAAACATATGGTACTTGAATGAAAAGGAACTTTAATACAATTAGGAAACAATACAGGAAAGGCAAAGAATCTAGTTTCTAAATCAAGCGCCCAGTTACCCGTCCCCTCGTGGGTAAAAGTCCATCCAAATGGGATTGGCCCAGAGCAAGGCCCCAAAGCCTGCCACAAGTCTAAAGCATCTTCCAGTGGGGACCCACAGAAAAGGGTCAGAAACAACCAGACAAGTCTGGAAGGAAAAGAGCAAAATTAAGATACAGATAAAAACCGCCATTGGCACCTCCCCACAGGTTTCTCACCCACATCTGTGTCACCCAGTCCACGACCAAAAGGCAAGTGTAGTTTCTTCACGTGTCTCTCAGCTGAATAAAACTGAATAAAAATGAAAACTCAGCATGTCCAGACTTGTGAGCCAGGCCTGCGCACGGCTCCCCCCCTGCACTGCACTCAGGGTGCTCATCTGTTTAGGGGAAACCAAGCCACCTGCTTCAGAGTTTGAAGAGAATTATCTGGGCTGCAGGATGCTCCAGGCTCTGGTGTGGCGGCCTCAGGGCCCAGACTGACCCAGCATGGACAGACTGCACACTGTGGACACGTGGTCACAGCAGGACTGTGTGTGGGCCCAGCAGGTGGCTCCCAGGAGCAGGATGGGCACCTGTAAGTGCAGGAAACCCGTAGGAAGCCCTCTTCATGCCCTTTCCAGATGCGTAAGGAGAGGCACAGAAAGGAGAAGCGACTTGCGGGGTACACAGCAGGCTTCAGCAGAGCTGGGCTGAGAGCAGGGCACCTGGATGCCGAGTCCAGCTGAAAGGAGGGGCGGAAAGCTCCGCCCACATCACTGGGCGGCCAGGCCAGAGGCGTGGACCCAGGGCAGGGAGAGTAGGCAGTAAGGGCGGTGGCTCCATCAAGTGGGGAGCATGCTGTGGTTTGGGGAAGAGGGAACAACACCCCACATTCTCAGAACCCATTTAAGCCAGGGGATTGTGTGGGGCCTGGCAAGAAAGCAAGGTGGGTGTCCCTAAAGAAACAAGCTCCTGCAGCAAAAGGGAAGGAAACAATCCCACCACCCGGCACAGCCCCTGGGGGGAGGTGAGTGGTGGATGAGGTAGGGGTACCCCAGCAGGCAGGCTCTTCTCTGGGAGGAAGGGCTATCAGCCGGGGAGGGAGAGTGGGAGGAGGGAGTTGACAGGGTCAGATCCCTGGGGACAGAGAGGAGCCTCAAGCCCCCACACCCCCGCTGGGATGGGGGTGGGGAGAACGAGCACCTATTGAAAGGGCACTTAGGAGGCACTAACTCAGGCCAGATCTCCAGCCTCCAGCGGGGACACTGGGGCTTCCAGAATGTGGTGGATGGTCACAGGGCTCCTGAGCCCAGAAGGGGCCCGGAGCTCAGCATCCAGGTCTGGGGCTTGTCTGTGAGTTTCCTGCACACAGGTAGCTTCCAGGGTTCCCGGACAAGCGGGAGAGGGAGTGTCTGCAGTGCTAAAGCCCACACCGGGGAGGGGTGCCCAGCATGAGCCCAAGGATGGGGGGAGGGAGGGCTAGGCCCTGGAGCTTGCTGGGAGGGGGGTCTGGCAGAACTTGGGGCAAGTTCTCCACAGGGAAGGAGAGGTGAAGATTGCAATTTTCACAGCCAGGCCCCTTCAGAGGCTCAAGAAACCTAATCCTTAAAAAAAAAAAAAGAAACCTAATCCTTCCTGGAAACTGAACATCGGGGTCAGGTGGTCGTGGTGTCACGGCCCTGGAGACCATGTGCAGGGGTGACGGTGGGGACAGGGCCCAGTTGCGCTGACGCCGGCCCCAGCCTGGGTCGCAGAGCCTGCGCCCCCCTCAACCGCTGGTCCCCACGCTCCTGTCCTTTCGGCAATTTCACACTCCTGGGGGTCGCAAGGCCCAGTTTGAAAACCAGTCCAGGAAAAGCTGGGTTTCCCTGGAGACTAGGGAGCGTTCACTCAAGTTTGTTTACACCTAAGGAGCTCCCAGATTGTTCCCGAGGGCAGAATGGGAGGAGGTGGAGACAGGGCTGGCGGCAGTGTGAAGACCCCTTCCTCAGGGCCTGCAGCGACCCCCAGGCGCGGGGATGCTCAGAACCCCAGTGCAGAAAGGAGCCGGGAATGTGCCACTCCAGCTGGAGGCCTCACTTCACCTGATACACAAGGTGGACTTTTCAAAATCACTCTTGGGTGCAGCGGGGTGAGCAAGACTCCTTCTCCCAATGAAGACCACGGCGTAAGGACGGGAGACACCCCAAGGCCTCACCTCGGGCTTGGAGAACTCAGCCTCCTTCCGGCGCTGCCCATGGCGAGTCGGGGCGCCACCGGCCGGAAACCCCAGCAGAGGATGGTGCTTGGTCAGTAAGGCGATGGGGGCGCCCTCAGAATGGCCCGCTGGTGCCCCTCGCTCTCGGTGCTCGTCCCCCGGGCTCCCCTAGTCTAAACCTGACCCCCTCCCTCCGAGGACTCCTTCCCCTGCAAGCAGAACCCAGGGGCGGGACTCGCCCCGCGCCCGGCGTGGTCACCCCTAACCCCCCTCCATCGAGGGGCGCCGCCGCACCCCGCCGACCGGGCCGGGAGCGCTCCAGCACCTGCTGCCCCGCTCCAGGGCCCCGAATTTGCAAGATCTGCCTGGGGAGCAGCCGTGACGCGCTCCCCCGCCTAGCGCTGGACCCCACATCGCCCCACGACTATTAAAGTCCCACGCGGCGCGGCGGCGCACCCCACGCGGGACGCGCTTCTGGGGCGGAGCCTGCCTCGGCGGCCTCCAGGACCAAGTGCGGGGGCCCCCTCCCGCCCCCGCCCAGGACTACAGGCTGCGCAGGCGCGGGAAGACGCCGCGGGGCTTGGGGGAAGCGAGGCGGCAGGCGCGCGCGGGGCAGTGCGCAGGCGCAGGCGTCCGGCGGCGGGGCGCGCGGAGCAGGGCGCAGGCGCGGGAGCCTGGCGGCGGTGGCGCGCGCGGCAAGACGCAGGCGCAGGAGACCGGCGGCGGGGGCGCGCGGGGCAGGGCGCAGGCTCAGGAACTCGGTGGCGGGGCGCGTGGCGGCGGGGGCGCGCGCGGCAGGGCGCAGGCGCAGGCGCGCGGCCGCGGCGGCGGTTGGGGAGGGTTCTTCCGGAAGGTTCGGGAGGCTTCTGGAACGGGCGCCGCGCGCTGGGCGGGCCCGCCGCTATATAAGGGCGGCGCGGGGGCGGTGCGCCAGTTGCTTCTGCGTCCTGCTTCCCGTCGCCGCGGATCCCGCGCGTCCCGGAGCCGAGGTGCGGGCGGTTGGGGCCGGGGTCGGGATGGAGGCCCCCGTTCCGCGCGTTGGCGCGGCCGCGGCCCCTGCTTCCCCGGAGGCCTCGGGCCTGCCGCGGGGACGGGCCAGAGCCCGGCGAAGGCGCTGGAGAAGCGGGGGGCGGCGGCGGCCGGGCCGGGCGGGGGCGGGCGGGGAGGGGGCCGCGGCCGCGCCGGATGAGGTCATCCCTTTGTCGGCCCGCCCGGTTCGGGCCCGGGGCTGACCTGCGGCGTCCTTGCAGATGCCCGAGGAGACCCAGACCCGCGACCAGCCCATGGAGGAGGAGGAGGTGGAGACGTTCGCTTTCCAGGCGGAAATCGCCCAGTTGATGTCCTTGATCATCAACACTTTCTACTCGAACAAAGAGATCTTTTTGAGGGAGCTGATTTCCAATTCGTCAGATGTGAGTGCCCTGGGCACCCCGGCTTCGGGGTGGTTTCTGCCGGAGTTTCTGCACCTGAGGGCCGGCGCCTGACCAGCCGGGTGGGTTTTTTCCTGTGATGTCTTTGAACAGGCGCTGGACAAAATCAGATACGAGAGCTTGACGGACCCCAGTAAGCTCGACTCCGGGAAGGAGCTGCACATCAACCTCATCCCCAACAAGCAGGACCGCAGCCTGACGATTGTGGACACCGGCATCGGGATGACCAAGGCCGACCTGATCAACAACCTGGGCACCATCGCCAAGTCTGGCACCAAAGCCTTCATGGAGGCGCTGCAGGCAGGCGCCGACATCTCCATGATCGGCCAGTTTGGCGTCGGCTTCTACTCGGCTTACCTGGTGGCCGAGAAGGTAACGGTCATCACCAAACACAATGACGACGAGCAGTACGCCTGGGAGTCCTCTGCAGGTGGCTCCTTCACCGTCAGGACCGACACAGGTGGGTACCCCGCGACCCAGCAGCAGACGGGCTGCGTGGGGGGGGAGGGGAGCTAGGTTGTCCACCCTTCAGGCTCTGCTCTGTTGGCGTGACCTTGTGGATGTTTGTTTTGAGCAAGATAGTAGCTGCTCTGGGACTTTCTCCTTCTGCCTCGAAGGGCAGCTGTTGTGAAGGAAAGTCTTAGATAAGGCAGTGGGAGTAGAATAGGTGGGTGGTGGTTTCTTTTTAATCAGCATCGGCCACTGGTGGTGAGTGCACTCCCCCACTTCGCTTCCAGGGGAACCAATGGGCCGCGGAACAAAGGTGATCTTGCACCTGAAAGAAGACCAGACTGAGTACTTGGAGGAGAGGAGGATCAAGGAGATTGTGAAGAAACACTCGCAGTTTATTGGCTACCCCATTACTCTCTTTGTGAGTTTCTTGCGTTTTCTGTGTAGGTGACTAAACTGCTGGAGCTCGGGTTCTTAGTCCTTGAACATACAGGTAGGAAGGGACCTGCGCTTGCAGTGTTTCCTGCTCTGGTGTGAAGTGGCTGTGGGGGGTGCCCAGGGTGTTTAATTAGAGACATCAGACGTTGATGAGTTTCCTGGCAGCTCCTGCCGCTCACCTTGGCTGACAGGCTCCGTAAGCGCGCCGTTTCATGCCCCTTAGCTTGCGTTCTGGGTCAAGAAGGCAGAGGTGTTGGGTTTGTGTCTTGCAGGTGGAGAAGGAACGTGACAAGGAAGTGAGTGATGATGAGGCGGAAGAAAAGGAAGACAAAGAGGAAGAGAAGGAAAGAGAAGAGAAGGAGTCTGACGACAAGCCTGAAATAGAAGATGTGGGCTCTGACGAAGAAGAGGAAGAGAAGAAAGATGGAGATAAGAAGAAGAAGAAGAAGATTAAGGAGAAGTACATCGATCAAGAAGAGCTGAACAAAACCAAGCCCATCTGGACCAGAAACCCCGACGACATCACTAACGAGGAGTATGGCGAGTTCTACAAGAGCCTGACCAATGACTGGGAGGACCACTTGGCGGTGAAGGTGGGTGCTGCGTGCTCGCGCTGGCTGGCCTCGCCCTCCTCCCCACGGGGCTGGGGGTCGCGTAACTGCAGGTGTATGTGGTGAGCGGTGCCAGCGAAAGCTGTTGTGTCTGTCACCATACAGCACTTCTCAGTGGAAGGACAGCTGGAGTTCCGCGCCCTTCTTTTTGTCCCAAGACGTGCTCCTTTTGACCTGTTTGAAAACAGAAAGAAAAAGAACAACATAAAGTTGTACGTTCGCCGTGTCTTCATCATGGACAACTGCGAGGAGCTGATCCCAGAGTACCTGAGTGAGTGCGCGGGGCGCCGGCCTCGTCCCAGCCCGGCTCACGCTGTCATCTCCAAAAGTTCCAAGCGTGGTGGAGAGGGAGGCTAGCATCTCGGGGTCTTTTGTTTTGGGTGGCGGCACATGGGTTACAGGTAGGTGTTTGGCCTTGAGTGAGTTTTTGATAAACACTATTTGGCTTCTACGTTTTTCCAGATTTCATTAGAGGTGTGGTGGACTCCGAGGATCTGCCCCTGAACATTTCCCGTGAGATGTTGCAGCAGAGCAAAATCCTGAAAGTTATCAGAAAGAATTTGGTCAAAAAATGCTTAGAGCTCTTTACTGAACTGGCGGAAGATAAAGAGAACTACAAAAAGTTCTATGAGCAGTTTTCTAAAAATATTAAGGTTGGTACAGACCATCTGTCCACTAGCAGTAATCCCAGCGACGTCTTGATTTTCAGATGGTTTTTTAGCACAGAAAGCCTTGATGCGTGTGTTGTCTTTCAGCTGGGAATACACGAGGACTCTCAGAACCGGAAGAAGCTCTCCGAGCTGCTGCGCTACTACACGTCTGCTTCCGGGGACGAGATGGTGTCTCTCAAGGACTACTGCACAAGAATGAAGGAGAACCAGAAGCATATCTATTACATCACAGGTGCTGGGCGCGAGGCGGTGATTATGTCTCTGTCCTGTGACTGCTGAGGAGCTGTGCGTGTTCTCCCATGGGCACTGTGTGTCAGGGGCCTTGGCGGGCGATGGGAGACACCTGTGCACTGAGGTCTGGCTAAGGGAGGGAAAGTAGGCCCTGGCAGGCCACTCTGAGCAGCCCATTCCATGCTGCAGGTGAAACCAAGGACCAGGTGGCCAACTCGGCCTTCGTGGAGCGCCTGCGGAAGCATGGCCTGGAGGTGATCTACATGATCGAGCCCATCGACGAGTACTGCGTCCAGCAGCTGAAGGAGTTTGAGGGCAAGACTTTGGTGTCAGTCACCAAAGAGGGCTTGGAACTTCCAGAAGACGAAGAGGAGAAAAAGAAACAAGAAGAGAAGAAAACGAAATTTGAAAACCTCTGCAAAATCATGAAGGACATCTTGGAGAAAAAAGTAGAAAAGGTGTGTGCATGCTGTTTCCTAAATGTCTATACTTTTAGAAAACAGTGTTCGGGTGTTTGGTGGGTTTTTTTTGAAAGATTTATTTTTATTGCATACAAGAGCTGGAGTGCAGGCCAGAGGTGCAGTGGGTGAGAGGACTCACCAGAGACAGAGTGGGGAGCAGAACAGGCGGATCCACTGAAACCCACTGCTGAATGGGGAGCAGCGGGGAGACAGGAGAGGTCGGATATGCCCTATGGGTCAGCTCTCTGGTCGGGAATCGAACTCGGGCTGCAGGGGCTGGTGATAGGTGGATAGCGTGAGACTTAACCCCTGCGCCCCCAGGGAGGCCCTGTTGAGGGTTTTAGTCAGTCTGCTCGCATTCTCCCAGTTCCCGAGTAGGGTCCGGAGCCTCCCTTTGGGGCGGCACATTATGTTAAAGCCTCTCGGGCTTGAGGGCATCTGGGGGATGAGAGGGAGCTTGGGACCCGAGTTTGCCAGTAGTTCTGCCTCACCCACCTGGGTCACCTTAGATTTCACTCCACTGTGAGGCTGAGCAGGTGGGGTCATGGGATCACTCGCATGATGATTGCAGGTGGTCGTGTCCAACCGCTTGGTGACGTCCCCGTGCTGCATCGTCACGAGCACCTATGGCTGGACAGCCAACATGGAGAGGATCATGAAGGCGCAGGCCCTGCGCGACAACTCGACCATGGGCTACATGGCAGCCAAGAAGCACCTGGAGATCAACCCTGACCACTCCATCATTGAGACCCTGCGGCAGAAGGCAGAGGCCGACAAGAATGACAAGTCGGTGAAGGACCTGGTCATCCTGCTGTACGAGACCGCGCTTTTGTCTTCCGGCTTCAGCCTGGAGGACCCCCAGACACATGCCAACCGCATCTACAGGATGATCAAGCTGGGGCTTGGTACGCCTGGCAAGGGCCTTCAGGAGAGGCGGGAACTTGGGCTGGTGCGGGGGGTGGGAGTGGTGACTTCCAGCTGCCTGAGCAGACACAGCCAGTGTGGGGTGACCAGCCCCAAGCTCAGCGCTGGCCAGTTGAGGTGGAGGCCCCTGCCATTCCGCTTTGAGAGAGTGGGTGTCTTTTTTTTTTTTTTTTTTTTTTAAGATTTATTCATATAAGAGCTGGGGTACAGGCCAGAGATGTGGGGATAGAGAATATTGAGCAGAGACAGAGTGGAGAACAGCAGGCAGACTGACTGAATGAAGTACACTGCTGAGGGGAGCAGCGGGGCAAGACGAGAGGTCTGCTGCGTCATGTGGGTTGCTCCCTGGCCGGCTGGGGATCGAACTTGTGCTGCTGGGGCTGTGCCTTGCTTCATAGTGCAGTGCTTAACCCCTTGTGCCACCAGGGAGGCCCGAGAATGGGCGTCTGGAAGAAAGCTAACCTGTGGGTTTGTTCCCGAAAGGTATCGATGAGGATGACCCCACGGCCGACGACAGCAGCGCCACGGTGACCGAGGAGATGCCGCCCCTCGAGGGGGATGACGACACGTCGCGCATGGAGGAAGTAGACTAGGCCCGGCCGGGGAGCCGCATCCGCGCGTCCAGTGCTTCGTCCTCGTTCCCTCTGATATGTTTTCAAGGACTTTATTTTTGTTAACATTTTTGGCATGACCATAACTGCTTGTGGGGAAGATAAGGTTTCTTTCTACCTGTGTGATACCGTGACTCTCAGGCAGAGCTAGCTGTTTCCCAGTTTTATGTTGCCTCGTTTTAACAGGTGTACGTGACCTGGCATTCACTGTGGTCTGAAGTGTTTCGTTGTCAGCGGGTCCCTTAGTAGATGAGACTTTGTCACTGAAGTGTTCTGAAACCAGCCCTGACGTCTAAGGGGAAATGTGGCAGAACGACTTCATCTTCTAGGTCTGCTTTCTGAACCTTCCTCCTTCGTAGTTGCAGCTGCATGTACCAGGCCTCTAGAAAAGAGCACGTTGAGCTGAAGCAACTCCACAGGAGTAACTGTCTGTGGGGCTGATTTTCCAAAGAAAAGTAATGTTTAGTAGCAAAATTCTCCGCCCACCCAGGCAGGTTGTAAAGCTGTTCACAAGTAACTCAAGCAAGTTTTGTGTACGGGAATGTAATGCTCAAGTCACGTTCTGCTTTCAAATACAGTGAATTAAATAAGTGTGTGAAGACTCCTGTGGGGTAACAGATGGCAGTGGGGGGCCTCTGGGTGGGCACATGTGGGGAGGTGGGCAGGGCACGCGGATGCTCCGGGACTTAGGATGGGCTCCCAGGTGCCGGCGTGTGGGGTGGCATGCGAGGTATCGGAGACGAGGGCAGGGACTGTCCGGCCACGTGTGTCCGCCTCTCACCACCGAGTGAACAGCCGCCCTCCTCTGGGGCTTCATGTCCAACCTGCCTTTGATGGCCTTTATGAGACCTGCTCTAAGTCTGACCCTCAGTACTGTGGCCTGGTGCCTCGGAACTCTGCACCAAGTCTGCTTAATACCACCCGGCGCCCCCACCCCAATCATTCCCTGTTCTCTGCTTCTTTATTCGGTCTCAGGCAAGAAGAAACTATGGGCGAGGCAAGGTGAGGATCCGGCTGAACAGATCTTCAGGTCCTGAAAGGCTTAGAAAACAGGGTGGCCGCGGGTCTGGACAGGATTTGACTCCTGTGCCTGAGACCACATGTGAGATGACAAAGTGGTCAGTAGCAGGGTGACAGGCCTGGGGTTCTCTGCTGTGAAGGGTCCCCCAGTGCCCGGTAGGTGCAGGGCCCAATGGACGATCACGGCAACTGCCCTCAGACCCCTGAGGCAAGTGAGCGCGCCTGCCCCTGAGGGGCCGGCAGGTGGAGGCTGAGGTTTCCTTGGTAAGTCCAGGACTCCAATGGCAAAGGGCAAATTTCTTCTACTTTACCTTTTCTGAGATTAAACAGCCATTGAAATGAAAAGCAGGGCCTTCCTGGTGGCGTGTGGTTAAGCACAGCACTGTGAAGCTGTCTGCAGCCTCAGCCAGGGAGCCGACCTACAGGGCGCAGCAGACCTCTCCTGTCTTCCCCGCTGCTCCCCTCAGCAGTGGATTTCAGTCTGCCTGTTCTGTTCCCCACTCTGTTGCTGGTGAGTCCTCTCACCACCCGGCACCTCTGGCCTATACCCCAGCTCTTGTATGCATAAATCTTTAAGGGAAAAAAAAATCAAGTGCAGCAGGCATTTAAGGGAATGAACCTGAACACCTCCATAAGACTCCCCACGAAACCCTCTTGAGCACCCAAAAGCTGGTGCTGGTGTATCTGGCCCTCTCAGCCAGAAAGTAACCCCCGAAATGGGACATCTAGGTGCCCTGTTGGACCAGGCATGTGAGTCCCACCCTGGGGTGCAATTAAGGCTCACCTGGGGAGCCCCTCGACTGTTGCTCCTGCCTTTCACCAGCTGCTTGTGACCTGTCCGGAGAGGGCGGTGCTGAGACACAAGCAGACATGGTGCCTGTCCAAGTGCACAGTTGTCTGTAGAAGCCAGAGAGGGAGGAACTTAAAAAAACGGTGTGAGCACAGCTCGTGACACCAGGCTGGGGTGGGGTGGGGCGCGGACCTGCACAGAAGGCACTTGACTGTTGGTAGCAATAGCTCATCTATTGAACTAACAATTCGTTTACACTCATGCTAAGTAGAAATTTTGCAAAAGCTTTGCAAGGCCTGCACAAGACTAAGGAGCACTGGGAAGTCTGGAGGGCCGGGGCGCTGCAAGGCAGTGTCAGCAGCAGGCTCGCCTCAGTACCAGGAAGGCAGCCAGTCGCGAAAGGACCACCACACAGTCCAACTGCATACAATTCTAAAAAGGAGGCCTCCCTGGTGGCACAAGGGGTTAAGACGCAACTATGAAGATGTCTGCAGCCTCTGCAGCGTGAGTTCAATTCCCGGCCAGGGAGCTACCCACATGGCACAGCAGCCCTCTCTTGACTCACCCACTGCTCCCCTCAGCAGTGTATTTCAGTGGATCTGCCTATTCTGCTCCCCACTCTGTCTCTG